GGAGGGTAGGTACTCGGAGGAGGGCTTTCTCTGCGGTGGCGCCTAAGTTATGGAATGCGCTCCCCAGAGAGGTCCGCCTGGCGCCGTCGTTATTAGTTTTTCGGCACCAGGCGAAGACCTTTTTATTTAAGCGGCATTTTAACTGTTAATATTACTGGATTTTATCTGGCCAGGGCGGCTTATGTTATATTGTATTTTTGTATTTTTATCTAATGTTTATATTTTTTAAATTTATTATTGTAATTATTTTTAATTTATTATTGTAAGCCGCCCCGAGGCTTCGGCGAATGGGGCAGCATAAGAATGTTTTAATAAATAAAATAAATAAAATAAATCCACTGGGTGGCTGGGAAGAGGCTGGTATTTCCACCATACCTACCCAGTGTCCTGCAGGCAAAGGGCTGCTGAATGTGTCAAGGGGTCTGGCCTGCGGTTCTTTGCTTCTGCATCCAAACGACTGTCAATGTCCATTCAACACTGAAACCTACCAAGGCAACCAGAAAGATCATGAGTATGGACCTCCTCCTCCTCCTCCTCCTCCCAATCCCACTCTCCCTGAAGGAGCTTCTTTACACCCATGTGCATCGGCGACTGGGGAGCATGGGTGGAGGTTGCTGTTGCACTCATGTCTGTCTGTGGGACCCATGGGCCACTGTGGCCACTCAGTGGGAAGAATGCTGGACTAGGAGGACCAGTGGTCCATCCAGGGGCACGTCTTCTGCTGTGTCGCCTTCATAGCGACTGCATGGTGAGACCTGCCTGGTAGAAATAACTGGCCGAGAGTCATAGGGAAGCTTCGCGGCACCTGGAAAGTGTCCACCTCATGGTCCCATCTCTTTCCTCCTCCAAAGCACAGGGATTGCAGAGGCCCTGGTAAAACATGCACTATGGCTGAACACTTGACCTGTTGGAAACTCCGTTTTGAAGACACAGGAAAGAGGCTCGAAAAGTCAAAGAAGTGCTGAAGGACATCCTGTCAGTCCTTCTAACCAGATTTCATCTTCTCTTTCTCAGCATCAGAAGAAGAAGGACCCCAGCTCCACCTCTGATAAAGAGAACCTGGCTCAGTGCATCCACGACTTCTTTATTGCGGGGACCGAAACAACTGCCAGTTCCCTGAAATGGGCATTGCTGCTTCTCACTAGTCATCTGGATATCCAAGGTAAGGAAGGACCGCCCAGTGGAAGAAAGAACTGCTTGGTGTAACAGGATTTATTTCAATGTATGCATTTTCATTTATCTGATGTTCATTTTCTCTGGTTCTGGTTTCTTCATTGAAGAGTTCCTGTCTGTATAATAAAGCTTGACTGACTGACTGATTGGTTGAATGACTGGTTTATGGACTGAGTGACAGAGGTGGGCCACCAAGGTCTGCAGATGGAGAAAGCAAGGCATTCTAGACGAAAATCCGCAGGAGGGAGAGGAGAAGTTCCACCAGTCTGAGCACAAGGGGGAGCCTGACCCTGCGAAGCCGCCTGCCCTGAGAGGTCGTGAGCTCTGCTCCAAGCAACCGTGTCCTTCACTGTGTGGTTCAGCAGAAGTGACTGCAAGGTGCACAGTGCTTGTTTCCTGACTGAAGGTGACATGGTTAGTGAAGCTGGTTGCCTCAGCAGAAGGAAAGGAGAGCTCTAGAGCGCCCCAAGGCGTACGGGAGGGTGGAAACTCACGGAGAGAACAAGGGAGGCACTGGAGGGGCACCTGGCAGGGGAGGTGTGCCAAGGAAGCAGGGCGGCTCCAAAGGTGGCCCCCAACTGCCAGGCATGGAATGGGATTTGTGCTGGCCAGACCCTTCGACCTGAGAAGCATCTTGTCCCCAGAAGAAGGCTGCTGATGAGACGCTCGTCAAGTCCCCTGAAAGTTCTTCCCTCTCGCTTGTCGACGTGAAAACAAACAGTACTGCTGAGACCACCTTATGTGTGACTATGACATTCTAGGAATGAAGGTCAAAAGCCCCAGGGCTCCAGTGGTGTTTGCGACGTGATCTATGGGCCCACATGATCTATGGGTCAAAAAGAGCTTCAGCAGCTCCCATTTCTTCCAGTTCATGGAAGAAACCTAGAAATAAAGAGAAGAAGCTGCAAGTGAGGAAATGGCTGTGAAGGCAGTGCCATCGGGGGAGACCTGGTTTCTGTCTGCCAGCAGGGGACAGACTGTCCCTCTCAGACACTGGCAAGAATGAGCTTGAACAAAAATTTTGAGCTTGACTTGCCAATGCAGGAAGGATGCATTTCAGCTTGTTTCTTTTGATCACCATTTTACCCAGTTTGTATCTTGTGAACCAAACAAGGGCCTACAGCAATCGGCAATCAGATCTGTAAATCGATGCAAAGTGATCTACGGGCCAAAAGAAAGAGGTTCAATGGCATCCATTTGTTTCAACATGGAGTCCGTTCCAAAAATGCATGCAAGCAATGCAGATATTTGGAGAAAATGCACATTAAAATAAGCACAGAAGTGGAAAGGAAATTTTCTCCTGCACAGTTTTTCATGCCGCTGTGCCTGCCGTCCACTAGATTTCCTTTTAGCTTGGATTTGGGTCATTAGCAGCAGCGCTATGTGTATTTGCCCTGCATTCTTCCCAAGGAGCTTGTTGAGCGCCTTCCAACCAAGGGGTCTCCTCCTCTGCTACTTTCTCTTGCTTCATTTGAGATCATTTCATTGTAAGATTTTCAAGGTAAGAAGATTCAGAAGTGGTTTAACATGGTCAGGTAGAGTGTCCCTGCCTTTGACTGTGAAAGATCCTCCACCAGGCAGACCGGACTCACCTGTGGACCTCACACACATCAAGAACCTACTGTTTAATTTTTCTGTGATGCGTTCTGTGGACCGTGCCAATAGCTCTACCCTTGTGACTGCACTAAGGTCAGGTTGCCAGGAGCAGCACTCAGATTATCCAACTTCTCTCAAAAATACAAATAAATATTCAAATTTTATTATTTTCTCTATAAGTCCAAAACTAAAACAACAGTTATTCAGAACATCGGACATACTGGGTCGACATCTCACTCTTTTTTCCATTCAACAACCATATTCAATTCTACACATAGTCCCGTTTCTCTAACCAATGATAAAAAGTGTTCCAAGTTTGATAGAAGTATGTATCTTCCTTCTCCTTCAAAGAGAAGGTCAATCTATCCATCTCTGCGCAGTCCAAAAACTTTTTTAAAATCAACTCTTCAGTAGGTGGCTCTTCTCTTCTCCAATGTTGGGCAAATGCAATCCTCGCCTCAGTAATTATATGTAAAGTCAAATATATAGCTTGTTTATTGAGGTCAAGTTTAAATGTTAAGGGTTTTTACAGCATTTCCTAAAACCATTTGTGTATTTTAACCCAATATTTTTTTGCCTTAACACATGTCCACCACAAATGATAAAAAGTACCAGGTTTGTGTTTACATTTCCAACATCTACTTGACATATTTGGTTACATTTTTGCTAATCTATCTGGCAATAAATAGCATCTGTAAAACATTTTATAAAGGTTTTCTTTATATGAGGTTGCTAGGGTTATCTTAATATTTCTTTCCCACAGCTTTTGCCATTTCTGTAACTCAATACTATATCCAAAATTTTGTGCCCATGTTATCATAGTTTCTTTAACTTGCTCATCTATCATTTTCATAACCAAAAGAAAATTATACAACCTTTTAATCATTTGTTCATCTGATTTTAAAATCATTTGGTCAAAAGCTATTAGTTCCTTATAAAAACCATACATTCTATAGTCTTTAATATGTCTCGATTGTATTTGAATCTTGTGCCACCAGGAAAGATCAATACCATGTTCCTGTAGTTCTTGATTCAGCTTCAATTTTCCATCATTATCTAAAATATCATCATGTCTCACAATCATATTAAAGTTCAATGCTTTTGGATATGTAAGAGCTTCTATAGGCGAAAGCCATCTCGACAGCTTAGTATAAAGCTTTGCCTTTAGCTTTTCCCAAACCGACATTTTTATTTATTTATTTATTTATTAAAACATTTTTATGCCGCCCCATTCGCTGAAGCCTCGGGGTGGCTTACAACAATAAATTAAAAGTAATTATAATATAAATTACAATAAATATAAACATTACATTAAAACTACAAAAATACAGTATCAAATAAGCCGCCCTGGCCAAATAAAATCCAATAATATTAACAGTTAAAATGCCACTTGAATAAAAAGGACATCAATGAGTCTCTAACACAATGATTTAAAAAATAACCATGTGTCTTACATTTCTCATACCACATATAAGCATGCCATCCCATTTGTAAATCATGCCCTTCAAGGTATAAAATTCTCTTATTTCTTAGAGTTATCCATTCTTTTAACCACATTAAAGCACAAGCTTGATGGTATAACATCCAATCAGGAAGACCAAAGCCCCCATTCCCTTTGGCTTCCTGAAGCATTTTTAATTTAATCCTTGATTTCTTCTTTTGCCATATGAATCGTAAGATTTGGGTATTTAAATCTTCAAAAAATATCAGTTTTATAGGAATTGTTTGGAATAGGAATGAAAGCTTTGGTAATGTATTCATTTTAAATATATATATTCTTCCCAACGATGATAATTGCAAATTAGCCCATTTTTCCAGATCACTCTTGATCTCCTTACATAGTTTAATATAGTTATCTTCTTTCAGTGTAACACTTAGCTGTAAGAAAGATCCCCAAATATTTAACCTTTTTAACGATTTGAAGGTCTACTTGATGCATCAGAGTTGTTTTTTTGTTCCAATGTAAGATTTTTTACTAACAGTTTAGTCTTTTCTCTATTTATTTTCACCCCAGTAACTTCACCATAATCTTCTATCTTTCTTAAAAGTTTAGACGTCGTTACCAACGGATCTTCTGATAGAAAAACTAAGTTGTCTGCAAATGCTTGAAGTTTATAGCTTTCATCCCTGATTCTAGCACCTTTAATATCCATATCTTCTCTAACATGTCTATTTAGAACTTCTAAAATCAATCTAAATAACAATGGTGATAAAGGACATCCTTGTCTTGTGCCCTTTTGAATGTCTATGATGCTTGTGAGTTCTCCATTGACTATTATCCTCGCAGTCTGTTTTTGATAAATGCTTGATATTGCATTAATAAATTTTCCACCAAATTCCATTTGCACTAGTTGTTGTTTCATGAATTGCCAAGTCACATTGTCAAAAGTCTTCTGCGCATCTAGAAACAAAAGTGCCATTGCTTTTTCAGAATGAATTTCGTAGTATTCTAGGATATCCAAAATAATTCTCACATTGTTCCTAATTTGTCTCTTAGATAGAAAACCATTCTGATCTGTATGTATAAAGTCTGCTAAGTATTTCTTCAGTCTTTCTGCCATTTACAGAGGCAAAGATTTTGTAATCCATGTTTACAAATGATATAGGTCTATAATTTTGAATCTGTGTCAAGTCCATGTCTTCCTTTTGAACTGAAGTAATATTTGCTTCTCTTGGTATTATAGCATCCAACAATACAGCATTACATATATCCTTTAGAGGTGTATATAAAATTCCTTCAAAAGATTTATAAAATTCCACTGGTCCGGACCTGGGGTTTTATCATTCTTTTGTCTCTTAATCGCCTCCATTACTTCTGTCATTGTTATTTCCTCATTTAATATTTTTGATATGTCTCCGGCAGTTTTGGTAGATTTTTCATTTGAATATATTCATAAACCTTCTCAACTGATACTTCTTTAGCTTGGTATAGCTTTGCAAAAAAACCTTCCACTCTTTTCTTAATTGACGCGCTTTGTTCCTGTAGTTGTCCTTCTCCATCATACAGCATAGATAGTAATCTCTTTTCTCTTTCCTTCTTTAATTTGTAGGCCAACCATCTCCCTGGTTTATTAGCATTTTCAAAGAAATTCTGTTGAGTCAATTTCATTTGTTTAGCTAGTTTGTTTGTCCCTAAAAGATTCAGTTTATGTTTTAAAGTGTCCATCTGTATCTTGAGGTCCCTTTTTGATGGATCTTCCTGTAACTTCTGTTCAAGCTTTGACAGCTCATCTATTAATTTAAATCGTTCTTGTTTTGTTTTGTTTTTTTTTTTTTTTGCTGAATAGGTTATAATCAGTCCCCTGACATAGGCTTTAGCTGTATCCCAAACGTTTTATAGAGTAGTTTCTTCAGCTCTATTTTCTTGGAAGAAAAATTTCAATTCCTTTCTTATTTCTTCTTTGAAGTTTTTATCTTTTACTAGAGATTTATTGAATGTCCATGAAAAATACAGATAAATATTCATAGTTATCCCTGAAACCCCCTGCAATAGCCACAGGGCACTCTTTATTTCTCAGCCTCACCTACCTGACCAGGAACTGGTAAGAGCTAAAGCTGGAGAAAATCACATATGCTATCTTCCTCGGAGAAAAGGTTGGGATATAATTAACTGTGTGTACTTTAGGATTCAGACTCATGGAATAATTTTGTGAAGAATGAATAATCATTAATGAGTATTCAAGCTTTCTGAACATTCCAAATACAACTTGCATTACCATCATTTCCCCCAGATAATGTCTATAAGGAGATTGAAGGAGCTTTTGGTTCTACTCACACAATCACCTATCAAGATAAAAAGAAACTGCCCTACACAAATGCGGTGATTCATGAGATGCAGCGTTTCAAATATATCTTATTAATGGGAGTCCCAAGAGAATGCGCGAAGGACACAAATATGCGTGGCTTTCTCATTCCCAAGGTACAGAATATTGTGAAGGCTGTGGTCCAGAACTGCAGTGGGTGGACCTCACACAATAAGCTTTGCTCTGGGTTCAAAAGTACAACCTTGAAAGTCCCCAGACTTCCAACTGGAATCATTCCGCTTTAGTGCTGTAAGAGCACTTGAGGCTGAACATAAAAATCCACCCCATTTGTGCCCCCCAACCGTGTGCAAATAGAGCATTTCAAGGGGTATGGCAATTATTTTGTCGTTATTTGTTTTTCGGTGCCAGGCTAAGGCCTTTGTATTTAAACAATATTTTAACAACTTTTAATATCATCTATAGGTTTCAATTTGCAGTCAGGGTGAATCTGGATTTTATTTGTATTATTTGCATTGTGTTTATTTATTTTATGTAAGCTGCCCCAAGGCTATGCAATGGGACAGCATACAAAAATTCTAAATACATACATACATACATAAATATTTTCGAAGTGAGAGCTGAAAGGATATGAAGCACAGAGATGCCTCCCTCTAGTGGCTTGCCCCCTTCCATGCGCATCTTTTTCATTTTCAAACAACGTTTATGCAACCAATCGCAAGTATGTGAATGGGCTTCTTTCCCCAGCCCCCAACGCCTGCTGAACCCCATTAAATATACATATACACTAATGTATATGTGCACATTGGGGAAACTCTTGATAATTACAACAGTAAAAGTAATGAACAATCCTGAAACTGCAGATCTTTCCTGCAGGGGACCCTGATTTTTCCAGATCTGCGCTCTGTCCTTCTTGATCCTGAGCACTGGGACACTCCTGAAGAGTTCAACCCAAATCAATTTTTGGACAAGGATGGAAACTTTGTGGCCAGAGAGGAATTTCTGCCATTCGGTGCAGGTGAGGCAGTGTCGTGCCTGATGGCGCGACAGAGGCGTCTACTCGTGAGGAAGAGGCAGAAGCTAACAGAGAGAGTCGGGCATTGGAGCAAGGGGACTTATATTTGAGACCCAGAGCCCAGACGACCCCTCTGCAGCCTGGCTCTCAGACTACTGAGCTAGGAGCCTCTCTACAGCCTGACCCCACAGCCTCGGAGAGAACAGCCTCCCCGCAGACTGACGGGGAAGCGTCTGAAAGGGCAACTTCCTCTGATTCCAGCTCTGAGCCGCCTGAAGAAGTCACCCCCCCCCCACCGGCTCCTGACTCTGTGACTGCTGAACAGAGTTCAAGAGAACAAGAGGATTCGACGGAAAGTTTAACAAGCGCTAAGTCCGGAGATCTTTAAGTCGACAACAGGACAAAGGTCTGTCCTGCCCACGAGTGGAAAGACAAAGCAGGAAGGTCTGATACCACGTGGTTGACTGAGATAGCGCAGAGAAAGAAGGGCACCTGCACTGCAAGGGGCCAGTCATTACAGCTCATCAGTCACGGTGTGAACCTTGTCGCGAACAGCAATAAAAGTCCTCAGTTTCACTGCCGGCTGCCGTGTGAGTTAATTGGAGGCGTGGGTTATGGCCTCGCGACAGCTTGCCGTTCTTTCTCTGAGCTATCTCAGTCTCAAATATAAGTCCCCTTGTTCCAATGCCCGACTCTCACTGTCAGCTTCTGCCTCTTCCTCATGAGGAGACGCCTCTGTCGCGCCATCAGGCATGGCAGGCAGAAATGCAGACCTTGTCGCCTGAGGTGTCTGCATCCATCTGGAAACCAGCATCTCCTCTGAGCTGGATGCAAGAGGACCTCACTCCCTTTTTGGCTCCCAAATTGTGCACCCAAATGGCTGTCATTCTCTTGGGACAGAAGGAGGCTGGCTCTTCTGAGGCTGCCGCTGCATGCAGACAGCGCCATCCAGGAGTAGATCCCCCCCTTCTGTGTAGACATGCAGAGCAGCGCACGGTTCCCCGTGGGTGTTAGCGAGTGTTCATTAGGTCACAGCTCCTGGATTACATCCTCGTCTGCCATAGGACACCCTTGGTGTTCTGGGACTCTGGGTGAAAGCCACAGATAGCGACTCGGTTCATCTTGGGGATACGGGCCCTCTATTTCCAGAGGGGAATATGCAGCTACAGCACTAGGAGAACTCACTGGCCGACTGCAATGACCTCAGAGGCCCTTTGCTCACTCCCAGCATGTGTGATGGCCACCCATTCATGGGAGGAGCTGGACACAGGCCCCGGAGCCCTCCACATGCCCGTCCTGTCAGCGAGATGGCACTCATGTACCAGAGAGACCACAGGCTCCACCTCCCCCCTGGCCCTGGCTCCCCCTCCCTTCCCAAGCAGGGTCTCATTCACACACCTCAGCATTTGGGGAGGGGGGAAGAGCCCTTTCAGGGCATGCAGAGGAGTCAGAGATGGTGCTGATGGAAGCTGAGCTCAGGGCCAGGCTGCCCCACACTAGGCATGGGCCTGGTCATCCGTTTCCCCCACTGGGGAAGGCTGCAAGGCCAATTCCTCCATCCCCCTGGTGGACTGTGCATAAAAGTATGGAACAGCTGGCGAGAGAAACAAGAAGCTGCCGCTTCCAATCCTGCAGCGGAAGTGAGCAACAGGTCCTTCTGAAGCACCTACGGTGGAAGCCCAGGGCACGCAGCAGATCCCAGAATTTCTCCTCCCTTCTTTCCTCCTTCTCTTTCCTCCCTCTCCATGTCCCCCCTGAGGATTCATGACACATCCCACTGTTGTTACGCTGGCTGGCTGCCGCGTTGGGCAAGGGTTGCCCTTGATGGTCCCCCGTGCAGGCCCATGGTGCATAGCCTGGGACACTGGGGGGGAATGGAGAGCAGCCCTTCTTATTCCCCGGCCCGGAGCCGCCTCTCCACCCCGGTTGCCCCCAGATGCAGTCAAGGCAGAGGGTGTTGAACTGGCAGGCGGGGCAACCCTGCGTATCCCCTGGGGAGGTGTGGGAGGCAATGGCCAAGCCATGCAGGGTCCCTCTCAGATTGACCTCTCGGTGCAGACAAAGACGGAAGTCCTGGAGAACGGGTTTTGCTCCTAACCGGCTGCCCTCCCTCCCTTGCTCCACAGGGGCCCGGGTCTGCCTGGGGGAGAGGCTGGCGTGCATGGAGATCTTCCTCCTCCTGACCCGCCTGCTGCGGGCCTTCCGCTTCCAGCTGCCAGAAGGCACGAAGGAGCTCAGCCAGAAACCTATACGTGGGTTAGCAACTCCTCCCCAGCCGTATAAAATCTGCGCCGTTCCCCGCTGCAGCTCATCGTGATGCATGCAAGGAATCCAGCCTCTTCTTTACTGCTGCAAATCCCTCCCTCGTAACTGCTCGTTCCATCTGGTGTTCGGCCTTGAATTGCTCGGTTCCTGCATTCCATCAGCGCATCAAACAGATCTGCACTGGGGCTGGTTCGGGGCAGGGGCAGGGGCAGGGGCAGGGGCAGGGGCAGGGTTATAGCCCAAGAAGGAGGTGCTTCCCTCCGGTTTGCTGTTCCCAGCCAATTTGCTGTCCATGCATCCCTGCTTCGTATTCCGTTGGTACGTTGACGGGATTTTCTGGCGCATCCCCTTCTCTCCCAGTGCTGCCTGTGCAGCTGGTGGTGAATAGACATGTTACCCTCTGATGGCTCTATTTTGTGGCTGGCTGGGTGAGGAGGACGGAGGAGCACAAAGGCTTTTGTGCACGAGACATTTATTGTGGACTCTTCATTGTCAACTTACGGTTGTTTAGGGGCTCTTTGGATGTGATCCTCCAGTTTTGCATTTCTTTTACACTGCACTTTTTCAGCAAGTTTTTTAGAAGAGTTAAAATGCAATATTGTTTAAGAAAGTAAAAGAAAATGTTTTATCCCTCCGTATTATTCTGTTATAACACAGTACCACCTCCAGGTTATGTGACAGAAAATCCAGAAAGGAAACACTCTTCATCAAAACTGCGACAAAACTGTCCGTAGACAGACTGGATTAGCAGCTTCATGGTGGTGGAGGAGCAGGTGGAGGGAGGAGGAGGAGGAGCAGAAGCAGCAGCTGAAAAGAAGCAGAAGCAGAAAGAAAAGTCTACCCAGAGGATGAAGAAATGAGAGAAGAGAGTAGGGGAGAAGACATCACAGAAGAAGGAATATTGCGAAGAACAAAGAGGAGAGGACTAAGACTGCACACGAAGCCACAGGGCAAAAGGGACCGGGGGGGTGGGGGGGCATCAATCGCTTCTGGAGGTTTTGCAGCTGGTCATGGGGTTTCTTGGGACTCCTGTGAGGTAGCTACAGAGTACAGGAGCCATTCTTTATTGTCCAGGGGAAGGTTTCATTCTGCTTTGCTTCTTACAGTCTCAGATCAGCAGAATTAATAAAAGTAGAAAAAGAATAGCTTGTTCATGGGGTCACCATAAGTCAGGAATGATCTGATGGCAAATAAGAACAAGACCTGCTAGCAGCAATTCCCAAGTGCCACTAATCTCAGTCTTTCAATCTTTGGATGGCAAGAAATTGGAGACTTCGCAGGGTCATGTTTACGCAAGCAGCACTCCATCTCCCCTCATTGGATGGGGGCACCCAGAAGGGGGCCTCCGCTAAATATCTGAGATCTAGGCCTGGTCAGGTGGGAATAAAGTAGCCTTCAAATAACCAGCCCCTGGTTTAGAAAGGGCCTTAAAAAGAATACCGGCACTTTGGATTGGGCCCAGAGAAAAAGTGGAAGTTAGAGGAGGTTGCGGAGTGCTGAAGTAATGTGATCGTGTTTGCCGATGCCCACAAACAAATTCGCTGCCTCTTTTGGCTTAAGTGAAGTGTCCAGCCAATTTTCAAAGGTAACTCCACGTACACTGCGCTGAGGAACTGAAAACAAGAGAGTGCCAGATCATGAATTCCTGTAGCCCAGCTGTTTCTGTCCAGGCAGAATCATGGTTATTGTCTTCTTCTTCACATTGCATTTCTACTGTGCCTTTTCCCTCCTGCAAGGCAGCTTTCATGGCTCCAGTTTCTCCACGCAACAACAGACTGATGACGCAGGCTTGGCTGGGAGTCTGTGGCAGGCCCTGGGCCACCCCGTGGGCCTCATGGCTAAGTGGGGACTAGAACCTGGTTTTTCCAGGTCCGCAGTCCAACACTCGGAGCACCACCCTGCCTCTCTCCTTCGCGAACGGTTTGGGGGAGATGCTCTGCACCATCAAGGGCGCCTGTGTCTCCTGGAACAGGGCTGGGTTCACGAGCACCCCAGACTGCAGGCCTGATCCTGCGGGCAAGGCCACCCTCTGGAGCATGGGCTGAGCATCCCTTAGCTGGGCAGAGGAGGCAGCTGCTCACAGCACCTCTGACACCCCTGGGCTGAGTGGCCATTTCCGGGTCTGCATCCAAGCCGCTGCCGCACAGGAACTGATGGGGAACACCCAGCGGCTCACCTGGAACTGACGAACGAGAGAGGCATAGCTGGGCGGCACCCACACATCTCCCCGCATGCAGACAGTGTCATCAATGGAAAGATTAAACAGGATCGGCCCAAGGACAGAGCCCTGGGGGACCCTGCTTGTTACTGGCTGCCATCCCGATGATTCCTCACTATTTTATTTATTTATTTATTTATCAAAACATTTCTATGCTGCCCCTTGCCAAAGCCTCGGGGCGGCTCACAGCATAGAATAAAATACACAATAAATTAAGACAATAACAATTAAAATATATACATTAGTATAAAATAAGCCGCCCTGGCCAAATAAAATTCAATAACATTAACAATTGAAATGTCGCTTGAATAAAAAGGTCTTCGCCTGGCGCCGAAAAACAAATAAAGACAGCGCCAGGCGGAACTCTCTGGGGAGCGCATTCCATAACTTAGGCACCACCACCAATGGCTACCCTCTGCTTTCGGTCAGTCAACCATGCCCTAATCCACCGGACAGTGCTTTGGTGTATCCCAAAAATCCTCAGTTTCTCCACCAGGATATCATGGGGCACTTTGTCAAAGGCCTTGCTGAAATCCAGGTATACCACATCCACTGCATCCCCTCCATCTAGCCATCTCGAAACCTTGTCATAGAATTCCACAAGGTTTGTCTGGCAGGACCTGTTTTTGTGGAAGCCGTGCTGTGTGGCCGCCAGCCTCCCTTCCGTATCTAGCATCACTAGATCTCTCTCTATTATGAGCCTTTCCATTGTTTTTCCTACAATGGAAGTAAGGCTGACAGGGCTGTAATTCCCCATGTCACTTCTGCTACCCTTTTTGAAAATTGTACCACTGATGCCACCCTCCTGTCCTCTGGAACTTCACCCGTTCTCCACAAGGCCTCAAAAATGGAGGCCGCCGGGCATGAGAGAGCCCTGCCAACACGCTGCACACAGAGCATATTCCAGGCTGGGTGCTCCGACGCAACAGGGAAGGAGGGAGACATTTTTGGCGATGCACAAGCCTCTTTCCTTGACTGCCACAATTTTTCATTTTGCATTTTATTTTATTTAAAAATTTGTATGCCGCCCATTACTGTCATCTCTGGACAGCTTGCAACATCATTACAGATTACAATAAAATAAGATAAATTAACTATTCCACACTGAGCGTCAATTAAAATAAATGAAATTACTATGTGTTGGCCAAATAAGAAGGTTTTATTTGCACCAAATGCA